ATCAGATAGACATAGGATGGAAGAGACCATTTTTTATGCTATCATTTAGGAAAGCAGAGAACAGAACCCATTAATATAGATGATATGGAAGAATCAATCATATTTTTACATATAGAGAGGAATTAGGGGAAAAAATCTTTCTTTGCCATGAACTTTTAATTTATATGCCTATTAGTGCCTATTTTTTTCTGAATGTTTCTTTACATTTTCTCTATATTAATCCTAATCTCCCTTTGATGTCCATATTAGTGACTCCTAATACATGTATACAGTCCATACATACAACACACACACACACACGCACACACGCACTCCATAAACACACATACACAAACACATACTCAAGCATAAATAAGTTGGCAGATGGATAAAGTAGTTCATATGCATGAAAAGAAAAATAGACAAATATTTTTTGAGTACAGTGATTCTGTTTTTAGGATCTGTCTTCCATGTGTTAATAAGCTCATCAAGGTTTTGCCAGCTAGTTAATGTGGCTACCAGTGTAGCTCCCTGCTCTGCCTCAATTTATTTCCTCCTTTGCTGGACTTCCTATTGCATCTGACTCCCATCATTGACTGCAAACTATGTCATGGTGTTTCAGCTTCCAAAAGCTAGAGCCCCAGACTGCACAGTTGTAGGCTTTCCAACTTCTGGCCCTGTCATTATTTCATTATGTCAGTATCAGGCCCTAACTCTACGCATGGACCCATCTCAAATATATTGCTCTTTTCTCCTCCATGATAGCCCCCAGATACCGCTTACACATTATCAGTTTGTAAGCTCAACCATCTATGTCAAGAAATTCTGTAGTAGTTGAAATCTCGGTGCCCAAGTGTAAGTAAGTGCCCCTCCTAGTGTTGCCATTCATGAAGAACTACTGGGTTGGCAGTTTCTCCATTCTGTAAGAGAAAGGAGGGACATACGTTTTATCATTGTGAAAGGCAGGAAGTAGAGATGAGTATGTATTCTAGAGGCAGGAGTGGTAGAGAAGTTCCCAGGCCATGCGTCTAATTATTGTGGGAGATCTTGTAAGATGTGGAAATACATGTGAGACATGTTTGGGAGCTGGTTTGATCCTGAAACACCATTTGCAACATGATGTCATGGGAATGCGCTCAGACTTACAAACAAGCTCTTTGGGGTCTGTCCCTAAAACTCCATCAAAATTAAGCATTATGTGTTAATTATTTGCAATTAGAAATTAGAGAAATGGTTCCTCACCCAATATGATAAGCAGGCTTCTAATGGGCGGAACGTCCCAGAAAGTCATCTGCAAGCCCCCAGACTAACTTTGGTAAAAGTACTTGTGCTATGTAAGTTATCCAGCCTGTGATTTGTTATCACAGCTGAATCACTAAGTGAAAGAAATCTACTCATACAGAAGTCAGTGGTCAGATTGTACCTGTCAAAGTTGCTTGTTTTAACCACTTAATTATAAACTGTACACAAAACATAGGTTCACATAGTTCTTACATAAATGTCCTATATACTTAAGTATAAGTAAATGAATGAGTAAGAAATCCCATAGATTCCCAAAAGAGGGTGTATTTGGAGATAAGCAAAACTTCGGATATCAGTCATAAAATCTCAAGAATCCTTGATCTCTTGGTCTCCTTGTAGAGCTCTTGTCTGCTCCAGGACTTTCTGTCTCCCTCTTCTTTCATAAGATTCCCTGTACCTGCCCAAAGTTTGGCTATGAGTCCCAGCCTCTGCTTTGATACCCTGATGGGTAGAGTCTTTCAGAGGCCATCTGTGGTAAGCTCCTGTCCTGTTCCTTGTCCTCTCCTGTTTCTGATGTCTATCGCATTTGGGTCCTGGGGGCCCTGGAGTAGAATGATACTCCAACCAAGGACGGTGCATGGAGATTACCTAAATCTCTGGCTCAGATATAGCCCATAGACTCAGTCTCCAAGTGGGTTCCCTAGTAAGGGGAACAGGGACTGTCTCTGACATGAACTCAATGGCTGGCTCTTTGCTCACCTCCCCATGAGGGGGATGCAGCCTTACCAAGCCACAGAGGAAGACAATGCAGCCACTCCTGATGAGACCTGATAGGCTAGGGTCAGATGGAAGGGGAGGAGGACCTCTCCTATCAGTGGACTCGGGGAGGGGCATGGGAGGAGAAAAAGGAAGAAGAAAAGACAAGGGAGGGGGCCACAGCCAGTATACAAGGTGAATAAATTGTAATAAATAATAAATTTCAAAAAATCAAAAACAAACAAAAAAATCCATTGATCATGCTTTGAAAGCAACAACCATATATTTATTACAAAAAAAAAAAATCTCCAAACTGCAACTCACTTTAGGTACAAGACAGAATAATATCAAAATAAAGCTGTCACTACTACTGTTTTACATACTAACACCGACGGTACAGATACAGAGCACTTATCATCCATATACAATATTTCCAGGAACCAGAATCGGCATGGAAAAGGCAGGTGGATTTCACAGAGAATATCTGTGGTAGCGTAAAGGTCTTTTAACCTCGTGGCTAAATTGTTGGCTAATCCAACAATTTTCTCAGTTGAAGGAACAGCTAATATTTCTAGCCCAATGGAGAATTTAACATTTGCAGGAGGAAATGTCCAACTGTATCTAGAGTTGGGATATATAGAAATAAGTAATACATAGAAATAAGTGTGTTTAAATAAGTAATGCTTGAGTATATTCCAGAGTTAACAAACAAGGCGCTTAGAATTTACGTTGTATTTCAGTCACCAGGTTGGGCTTTTTAAATTAAGGATAGGTCTTTGTTTAACTTCTCAATTCAAAATCTCATTCAATTCAAAATCTAGACCTTACTATGACACCAGAAGTGTACAGCGATATAAAAACTGATTGTAAACTATATAACTCAAAGTCAATCCCAGGATTTATTTTTCAACATACAGTGCTGAGAATATAGCCTCATGAATCACAAATATGTATTTAAATAACTCAGTGAAAGGTGAGGCTTATTTTCTTTTTTTTTTGACTCAGGGTTTCTCTGTGTAGCCTTTTCTGTCCTGGACTCACTTTGTGGACCATGCTGGCCTCGAACTCACAGAGATCCACTTGCCTCTGCCTCCCTGAGTGTTGTGATTATAGGCGTGATACATGTGCCTCATGATGCTATTCTCTAAGAGGGTCGATTCTTTCAATAAGGTTCTTCACTCTTGAGGAGATACTGCAGCTGTGGCTAAAAGGTTGACTCCAGTGCCAGCTGAATGTTTATAGAAAGCACAGGTCCCTCAAAAGCATCTTATGAAAGCTCTCTAGCCATCTCTGAGCTGTAAATGAGGGCTTTCAACATAGTTTTAAGAAATGTCTCTTTGAGGCACAGTGGTCCAAGCACCTCCTAGTTCTTGGTTGTGCTTGGTGTTACAAAGGTGTATCAGTAGCTGGAATAAGAGTAGCTACCCTTTGCTCATCACATCCTCATTCAGCCTGGGATAATCATACACAGAGGGTATCACAGATTTAGTTTTATTTCTATATCTGTGTGTGTGCGTGTGTATACATGCCTGTGTAAAAAGCCACATAGTTACCAGGAACTGAACTCAGATCCTCTAGAAGAACAGTATGTGCTCCTAATCTCTGAGCTATCAGACAACACTAAAGACATTTCCATGAATAAACAAGTCAGGGCCCCAGGGATTTAATCAGTGTAACCCACAGTTGGTAATAAAACCATGGTGCCTCCCCTGACACACTGGCGTTACCACTTCTCTCTTCACAAGCATCCTGTTCAGACAACCTTACTTTTCGCCTGGGTATTTGTGTTTATCTGCATGGTTTGACTTCTCAGGCTTCTTCATTCCTCTGAGACAACTTGAGGTACTAGCAGTTTGGACAGGGGCCAGAGCCTCAAGCATCCATTGAATACTTGTGTGTCCAGTAGTCCTTGAGAACAAATGATTGTGATTTTGCTTCTGTTGTTGACAACCTGCCATGGCTTAAGTCAATAGTGACTACACAAGAAAAGAATAAATATGTGACATCCCTCAGGAGACCAATTAGTACTTTGTAAATATGCCCGTTTTTATTTATTTCATTTTTTTTTCATGTGACTGGGCCTTAGATTTATCTCATGTTTTAAGACTTCAGATGATCTTACACACTCTATGGTTAGAGGTGCCTGTCCTTCGATGCTGATGTTTCAATTATTTGAGCTGCTTTATACATAAAATGTGCAACGCATTTTATAATTAGAACCACCATTCCTGCAAGTTCAATAGTCTCACTATATATGTTCTTGTTGTGTGTGTGGAAAGGAACCAACAGCATCTTATGAGCATGCTAGGATGTGTGTCCATGTTGGTGCTCCAGTATGGAAGGAGCTGGGCATTTTAAGAAGACAGTGTGTACTGAAGCCAGGCTCAAAACAGTCCCCATCCTGGACAAATTAAGCCTCTCCATCGTGAACCAGATCCCTTTGACAGTCTGCTTCCGCTAATGTCTTGAGTGTGAGCTCCTCACATCCTTTCCATTCTTGAGGCTGAGCTGCGGTTACTGCTTCCTACCCATGGCCTGCTACTGCTACCTGCCTAAGACTTGTCTTTGGCTCCTGGTAAACCTTCAGCCGGAACAGTATTTTCTCCACCACTTGCAAATCCGATTTTTATGTATAAGTAAGTGCTCTTGGTTTTTGCTCTGCCTACTGCTGGTGCCTGGTTTCTCATGGGCCTGTACCTAAGCCAGATCTGGCCTATGTAATGCTATTTGTAATGAGAAATCTAAACAGGGAATGGCAGTGAGGCATGGCAGGAATGTGTTTCCACTGGAGAAGTTAGTGCAGAGAAAAAGCATAAGCACAGCCATGTCCAGAAGGGCTTTTCAGCTGGCCAGGACAGGAGACCAATGTTATTGTACAAAGGCTGTTCCCTGCCAGCCCTTCCTCACAGATTTGCTTTTTCTTTCTCTTCCCCTCCCCCATACCCTTCTCCCCTCTTCTTCTCTCCCTTCTCTTCCCCTATCCTTTTCTCTCCTTCTTTGGACCCTGCTGACTGTTTGCTCAGGTGGACAGTGACACCATTTGGAATGAGCTGCACACGTCCGGTGCTGCACGCATGGCTGTTGGCTGTGTCATTGAGCTGGCTTCCAAAGTGGCCTCGGGGGAGCTGAAGGTGAGGTCTGGGTTGCATTAAGTGTGGGAAATCCAGAGAAGTTGCTGAAACAGAGATGTTGTTGTTTGGGAAATGTGTATGTGTGTGTGTGGGAGGGGTGTTAATAAAGGGAAGGAGGGCAAGGAGATGGCCACTGAGGTGTGAGCAGAACGCCTCTGTGAATAGGTGGTTACTGTCCTGCTTGAAGGGACTTCCTTCTCTCTAGAATGGTCTGTAGTCAGAGAACACTCCTCTATTTGTAAGACCATAGAAATGGTGAGCAAAACTTTGGTCCATGTCAAAAATACCAGGTTTTCTCTCTCTCTCTCTCTCTCTCTCTCTCTCTCTCTCTCTCTGTGTGTGTGTGTGTGTGTGCGTAAAACCTGTCCTGCTGTCCTAACATTCTCTTTTGAAGTGACTTAAAAATTCTGGTTACTGAGTAGTATATATAAGCTCAAAATACCACCCAGAGAGAGGAGGGGGAGAAAGCCAAATACCAGACGGAAGGACTGGGAGGAAGAAGGAAATTGTTGATTAGGGGGGTAATGATCCAGAGTATGTTTTTCCATGAAAGAACTTCAAAAATGAGCCATGCTTTATTGTTCTTTTCTTTTTATGGTCTCTTCTTTTCTACATCATATGAAAAGAACAATGTCCAAACCCCAGCATTTCCAGTCTAAACAATTTATAGAAGCCAGAGACCTGACAGACATTGACATTTTATTTGGTATTTTAGCAGTGCTATTTAAAGGTATGCCATGTGTGTCCTGAATGTAGCTACCCCAATAAACTTTGTTGGTGCTAACGCAGTTTTTAATGCACTAGTTCACACACTTCATAATGTGATCTGGAATGGTGATTGATCTGGTATTTTTAGCAACTGTGAAGCTTGAGAAAAATCTATTATGACCAGCAATATATACACTGTGAGTTTTGTAAATCTAAGATAAAATCTAAATGATATTATTTTTCTTCATGTTAAATTAATTTTTTTATTCAATTTATACCAGAATCTTGTAATTGAAAATGTAGGGCAGAATTGTAAAGTGTGGTGTCATCTCTCCCAGGTGTCAGAACTCATAGAAATAAGCTTTGGATGAGGTAGATTGTAGGTTTTTTGTTGTTGTTGTTTGTTTGTTTTGCTGGTTTCAAAGAAATGCCTGTGTGTATTTGACAAGATTTAGCCTCTGCACATTAGCTGCTCATCTGGGGGATGAATGGGGCCATTAAAGAATGTAGTGCTTAATTTTTAGACTTTGTATTTGCAAATGACAAATTAAAAGGTCAGAAAGATTCAGCTTTCTAAACAGGCTTTGCTGTCTCCTACATACCTTGGGGATAATTACTCTTACTTGAGTGATGTCATGTATTATGATAAGTTGACATGTTTAAAGACTATTTGAGGGTCTTGTTTTCAAAAGGATCTAAGTGGCATGCAATAGCCTGGCTACTTATTACAATTTTTAAGGTTGTGTTGTTGCCATATTCATGCTTGATGTCCAAAGGAATTTCTATGTTAGCATTCACAACTCCTAAATGCTTTTAGTTGGAGAAAATTTAGTTGATAATTTAGAAGACTTCTTACCCTTGCTGTACAGAATTCAAAATTGTAGGCATGAGGAAAATGAAACAAAAACTTAATTCCATTTTTAGCAGGTAGTCATTTCAAATGGCCAGTTACAAACAAAGTCGGCACAGGGTGGTAGAGGCATGCTGACCCCAGCTGTACCAACACGGGCTATTTATGTTAGGAACAAGAATCCTACAGATGCTTTTTCTCCTCCTTGTTAAACAGTCAGCAGGCATGGCTTTAGAAGAAAGTAAAGAGGAAGGAGGAATAGGCTCTGCGGAGCCAGGCTCTCCTCCTCATTCCTGCACCTTCTGCGGGTCACTACAGAGTGTCTCTGGGCTTGTTTCCTGACTGGCCACCAAGCACGTCTGGGCAGGTTGAAGGCTCTCCACAGTGTTGACAAACTGAGCTGTTTGCAACTCAGAGAAGCAGATTTTAGACCTTCAGGTTCAGTATACAACATCAGTAAATATCCCAAAGCTAAACTCACTTTGCCTTGGTAAACTTTTCAGATTTTGGAGTTGATTTATCCTTCTGATCTTCAAGAACAAAGAAAGAAAATCCAACACAGACAGGACCATAATAGGCACTGATTCCACGCTGACAGCCATGTATGAAGCCCTGGTAATTGCTGATTTGGGGACATGAAAACCACATTGGAAAAGTAGAAAGCAAAAATAATTTGTAGAGATTCAAAAAAAAGCCTAAGCTAGAGCCACATTTGTGAACCCATGTCAATAAGAAGGCCATAACATTTTACTTGTTGCAGGTGCCATTGTTCAGCTAAGGGCATTGCTGGTCATGGCTTACAGGTTCACTATATTCTGATTGAAGGAAGAAATGGCGAGGGGGCATTTATTTTAGGACACTGGTAAGTAATACCATGGGAATAAATATCAAAAGAGAGAGAGAAGAATTTAAAACTCCACCTTTTGCCATTTTCTGTCTATGTTCAGTTCTCACATGATTTATCTATTTTCCTAGAAAATCTAAACCTTAATGAAATAACCCTGGCATAGCATAATATTACTCCCTTTTAAAATCGTATATATTTATTTTGGAAAATATAATAATTAGGAGCTTTCTTCAAGAATGCTGTAGCGAGGTGTGTGATGAACTGAGAGATGAGGTGGACGGACACCACAGGGATTGGAAAGGACAGGGAACTAGGTCAGAGTACCCTCACCAAAGAAAACCAACAAAGATAAAACAACTTGGTCAAGCTCTGAAGCTGTGCTTGACCCTGACGGTTTTCCTCACTCCTGAGAGGTTCTGTCCATTTCACCTGGGGAGACTAATAAAACAGAGAATTGCAAGAATGAATACAGCAAAGGGGAAGCACTTCAAACCAACATTTAAATATAACACATGCAGCAAACTGTAGCCGAGAATTGATCTATTTTTAGTACTGAATGGAAATACTCAGCAGAGGGGAATGAAAATTATGAGACACCAAGTGTTCTGGGTTTTTAATAAGACACACAGACACACATAGACACACTCACACATAGACACACCCACACACAGACATACACATTCAGGCATAGACACACATACTTCCTCAAACCTACATATCCCCCAAATTAGTTTCTGGTAGCAAGGAACACACATTCTGAAAATGTTGAAATTTTTGGTGTACCATCAGAATAAATTGTCTCAAAATGAATCGATAGAGCATTATATAAAGTGTACATGCGATGCAGAAGTATCTCTAAGAGTTAATACTTGCTAAGCTTGTTGAATAAATACCCAGTAAGTTTCTCTCAAGAATCCCTGTAGCTATTTACTTTGATGCTACTTTGAAAATACTATGCATGCGTCATCTGCCTGCAAGATATATCCAGAAAAGACAACAAAAAGCCAACCTTTCCAATGGTCTGACAGATGATCTCCCTCCTGTTTGGGTACCTACTGCGACGCAATGTCACCATGGCAACCTTCTTTGAGGAATTACTGAAGTCAGTTTGCTGGTTGTGGGCCCTGTGATCAGAGTCCTCTTGAGGTAAATACCACTGGTCGGATGCTACCCTAAAGGCAGTCCTTTAAGAGCCTGCACACAGTTAATAAAGTCTAAATTTCACAACCTTCTGTATTCCAGCTACTGCATTAGGGCCTTCCTGTAGCACACATGAGTGGCTAAAGTCCTTTTCTTATTGTTACAATTATTTGATACATATGAAAAGACAATTTGGTGCTAGAGTGATGGCTCAGCGGCTAAGACCGGCAACTGGTCTCAGCAGAGACTCTGGGTTTGTGAACCCATGTCAAAAAAGTGGCAGCTCACAACCATCTGTAGCCACAGGTCCAGGAGTTCTGATGTCCTGTTTGGATCCCTGCAGAAATCAGACAGGCAGGTGGTACACATGCAAACATACAAATAACATATTCACACCACATGAGGTAAAGGTAATCTTTTGTAAAACAACAAAAAAATACATCTAAATTAAATAAAATAACCACGATTCCTTCATTTGACTCGGACAGTGCGCTGATCAAAAAAAAAAAAAAAAAATTACATAATCAAGATGTGTGCTTATGGATAAGTACCTACGAGTCACTCATTTTTAGATTGATAAAGTGCCTTTGTACATCAAACATAGTCAGTTCACCTTTCTATTGGGTGTTTTTGTTATTGCCAGCATTTGCTCTTTACACAATACTGCATGTACACTTGAACACTCTGCCATTTTTACTATGCATTACAAGAATGTCCAGTTTCTAGGCTAGCCACATAATAAATTTTAGTAGGTATTGCTAAGTGGAATTCCAAAGTTATTCTGATAAAATAACATTAGTAAAAACACTACTTTGGAGCCTGTAAATTCTTTCCTCACCTTGGTAATAACAACATCAGCAAAACTTATCAAGATGAATATTTTCAAAACTCTAGAAATTATCAAAAGGCTTGAATCAACTCAAGAAACCTATTTCAAAAGCAAGCTTGCTGAATCCTAATGGGAACAGCAAGCTTTGTGGTCTCTTAAGTCAGCTCACTTCCCTCTTGCCTTTCCAGTACTACTATAGTCCTAACACCTAGTAACACACACACTCAGTGAAAATGGGAATTTGGCAGGCTCCACAGGTGTGATGAGGATGGAATTCTATCAGAATCTGTTTGCCAGAGAGTTGCTTCTATTTCTTCTGCCTGGTGCTTCACTGTAAGACTCATATGAAAAGGCTATCATTGTTTAAACTCACATGGGAGTCCCACAGTATTAAAGCCCTTTCTCTCAGCAGCATTTATTAGAAAACTACAAGGCAGTCTAGAAGCTTCACAAAAAGCTTACGATATCTGGTAAATAAGAGGCACCAGGTTCCTGAGAGTCTAGCAGGCCAAATGCATGACAGGATGTGTTTATGTGTATGGCCAGGGCTGTGCTCATGCTCAGAAAGACCTGTGAAGGCCCTAAACTACCAAACCCAGCTGATTTTGAGACACTGCTCATGCAAG